TGCTTTCTGATTAGTGTTTCTCTCTCTTTAATTGGAATTTTAAGCACCATAATGATGTCAGCCAGCTGAGGTTTTTAAAAAGCATAAATATAAATGGTTACAATAAATTATATTTGGAAGAAGCTCTACTTAAGTGTATAGGTTAATAAATAAAGACACCAAATTAATATAGGCTATTTTAAAACCAAATATGTAATACTATAACACTTTGGTGATCTGTATGCATTCTGGTGAATGACCATAGGATTTTTAATTGAATTAATACAAAAAATTCAGCACAAAATATTATCAGATTTAACCACCCAGTGAGTGTATTATTTGTTCCTGTTTTACTAGGCTAAATCAAAGTTTATAGCATTTCTTTTTTCTGCATTGATTTTCGGCCTAGAGGGGTAAAGTTTTAAAATGAGATGTAATTTTAGACAAGAGCAAGAACTTAAAGGGATAGTACTCAAATAATTTCTTGGAAAAAAAAAATAAAACTATTTCATGGCTACTTTATATGTGCAATTCTAGCTGTTTAATAGAGAGCTTCTTTGACATTCACATTTTGAAGCTCATAACTAGTCTGAGGTTGAGGCTGCAAGGAGTGTTGTGGAAGGACAGAGGCACTTGTGGAGTAAAGCTCTATTGGCAAGGCAGTGTCAATAATATCTACATTTCCAACATACTGCCTTAGAGCCATAGCCTAAAAACTCAAAACGCAGGTGGTAGGGCAGGATGGCTGAATGGTTCAACCTAGCAGATAATCATTTCAGAATCATTACCTCTTCATTTGGTTATAAGTGGTTAGGAATCCCCAATAAGTTCAAAACCTGTAGTTGAAAACCTGTTCTTAGTCAGTGGATCTCAACTTTTGAAATCATTTACTTCAGTGGTTCTCAAAGTGCAGACCAGAAGTGTCATCTTCTCATTTGTTCATCTAGACTTATGAAAGGAGAAGTAAGTATGAGGTGTAACAATCAGTTTTAAAAGCCCTCCATGTGTTATACACGATGGAATATTACTCAACAATCAAAAAGGATAAACACATGCAATTTGCAGCAACCTGGATGGAGCTGGAAGGGATCATGCTCAGCAAAATAAGCCAGAAAGAAAAAGAAAAACACAGGATGGTATCACTCATAGCAGGAATCTAGAGAACCTAAATAAGGGACCAGGAAAAAGAATAACTATAAGAAAGAAAAAATCAAAATCAACAAACAACTATGACCCAGAGACACACTATGGGGGGGGGGTGGGCAGGGAAAGGAGTGATTGGGGTCAAAATAAGGGGGTTGCAATTTTTTTTTAAAGATTTATTTATTTAGACAAGCACTGGGTACAGTCAGAAGCATGGGAGGCTGAGAGAATTCACTAGAGCCAGACCGGGGAGCAGAAGAGGGAGAATGACAAAGAAGTACACTGCTGAGGGGAGCAGCAGGCATGGCAGGAGAGGTCTGTGCACCATGTGGGACCCTCGCCCGGTGGCTGGGGATCAAACCGGTGCTGCAGAGGCTGTGGGCAGCTTCGCAGCCCAGCGTTCAACTGCTGCGCCACCAGGGGAGGCCCAAGGGGGTTGCAGTTGTATGGGGAATATAAAAATAAAATTAAAAAAATTAAATAAAATCCCTCCATGTAATTCTCATGCATGATAACATTAGAAAACAACCAGTTTAAGTTATATTGATTATTGTAGCATTTTTGGTAGCCATGCAAGAGCAACTTTTCCAGTGATTGATTCCTAGTAGGTTCTCAATAAATGTTGCCCTGAATATAATCATATGCTGAATTTATAATACAGCAGGCTATGATATTTACTCTCATATCTTACTTTCTTTTTCCCTGATACTTGGGAATGAGTAGTTGCCCTCACTGATTATTCATTTTCTTTCCCTTTGAGACTAGCTCTTCAGCTTTTCATTTAATATGAAAGGTCATTTTCAAAGAAAATTGTTGTCTGATGCTTCAGTTATTTAATTCTCCAGAGTCACTGAGAAGCTAAGTTGGTTCATGCCAATCATTTATTTCCCCTTTCTAAAGAAGGATAGTCATTTCACTGTCAATAATAATTAATGAAATTTCTCTCTAGTCTCTTCTGTAGGACTAGCCAGAAGTCCAGTGACCAGGAGTTTGTTGTTTCAGGCTTTTAAGTTGGCTTAGAGTGTGTATAGGCAGCAAATTCATCCAAGGGATTTAATAGTCTCAGCTTTGCTTCAAGTAATATATGACAGTGGGGGAAAATCACTCACAAAATAGGTGAAGTTACAATAGATTTGTGGAGAAAAATGAGCTCAGATTTTTAAACGTGAATTCACAAGTATTTTACACCCAATTTCTGATGTGAAAAAAAAATAATTTCTGATGTGTGAAATCCAGGGGAATCATGGATGCTAGATCCAGAGAGATTCATGTGGTATAACTCAGGCATCTTGTCTGGCAACTGACCTCTGTGGATTGAACAACATCCCTGCCTATGAGTCTATGTAGCCTTTGGGGAGAGGTTCCTCAGGTAAGGATACCAAAAGGGAGAGGCAGAGCTTGGAGTTGGGTGTGTGTCCTATGGGAATGTGGTAACTGATTGTGGCTAACCACTCCCGGCAATCCAGGGTTGTGGGAAGATCTGCATGATACAGGAGGTAGAGATGGGAGGTGGGTGCTAAGACTCTGCCAAGAGGCAGACTGTGGTAGCGGTGGGAGGGAAATGGGCCTGTAAAGAGCCAGAGGTCTGAAGAATTGTAGCTGTTGGACCTCCTGCAGCTAGTCTTCCTTATGATTCGGGAGGGGCAAAAGGAGGGAGTAACCTAGTATAGAATTGTGCTGAGTACTGACTACTGCCTCAATAGCTCTTTATTTTCTCTGTGAAGCCAGCTACTGACATCACAAGCTCTTGATTGGTAGTTGGATTTATAGTGTTGAGTCCTGGCCAGTACTGCTTATCTTTATCCCCTAAGCTCTAAGGTGTTCGAGCATTCCAAAAGAGGGGCAATTCAGCCTCTGGAACCCAGGCCCTGGGAGACAGCCTGTAAAGACCTGTATTTTGAAGTCCACAAACACGCTGACTGAGCACACTGCAGATGCCAGGCACCAGGGAGACACTAGGGACCTAGAAAGTCACAAGAGTTCCTACCCTCAAGGAGTACCAGAAATAGTGAAGAAGACAGATAACTAAAGAGATTATTGTAATTCAGTGGGAAGACTTTTGAAGGTATACAATTTTACTTGAACCAAATCATTTTTTTTCTCCCTGATGCAATAGGCTGTTTGCTTGGAAGAGGTGATGCTATAGGTAGGCCAGATAGTGAAGAGGAGAAGGAAGAAGCATTGCAGGCAAAGCAGAATATTCAAAGAAATATGATGCTCTCAGGAAATGGAAAGTGACTTGTTTTCATAGAATCTAAGATATCTGAGGGTGAATGATAGACTTGAAATTTGGACAGATAGTGTGAATCAGATCACAAAGCCCCTGTGTCTTGCTGGGGGAATAGGGAAAAGAGCTTTAAATAGGGGAGTGTTTCATAAAGATCATTCTAACAATGATCACTCCTCAATGGCGAATGGGTTAGAGGGAGTAGAGCCTTGTCAAAGGGCAGTTGAGGCATGAAGAAGACCTGGCCCAGGGCCATTGCCAGGTGGTGCAGAAGCCAGACTGACTTTCAGATTTGCCCCATTAACTTCTTTTTTCTGAAAGATTTTACCAGATTTTCCTAACAGGGTAGAATTGATGCTGTGATAATAAAGAATTCCATGTTAGTATATCAGTAAATATAGTTGGTCCTTTACCATCTTTGTGGCAAGGAATGTCCTTTGGAGTTGACCTGTAATTTAAGTGGTTTACATCAAATACATTAATTCACTCATGAAACTTGTATTGACCTTTACTGTGTGAAGGCACTGTTAACCTCACTGGAGGGTAACTTAAAAGTATTGGATATCCTCTTACAGAATTTACCAATGCTGCTTCATTCTTAACAGCCATAAATCAAGGAACTTACTTAGAGCAGAAGTTTCATTCATTCACTTACCCATCAGTCAACAAATGTTTGCGAAGTACCTACTTTGTGAAGGCAAAGTAATTACAAGAGGAACATGTGGACATTAAAGTAGAACAGAGAGTTCTGGATAGACCTGAGCTTTTAGAAAACCCAGAATATAAGAATAGCCTCAAGACTCTGGGCAAGATAATTCTTAATATTGGGGACATTTTCATTATTAAAGAGCATCTTGGGTTAGGCTTCTTAGATAACATATCCCTACATCCATGTTCCTTGAAACATGTGATCACTACACTGTGGAACTATATTCAGCAGGCCACAATAACTACAAGAAATGAATAATGACAGTATTTCCATTACCTAGCCGTAGGATTTTCTCTTTAGTCAAAAAGAGACCACAAAGCATGCTTTCCTAGGCAAATGAGATTAGAAAGTATTCACTAAATTCCCCCTACTTATCAAGTGATAGATCTGTTTGAAACTTGTTTCAGAATTCAGTTAGCTAGTTGTTTGTGTGAATGACTAAGGGTCACAGACGCTAGCTCAGAAGTATTGGTACTACTTAGGAGTACATGCTCAGGCATATGTTGACTTCTGCTTTAAAGCTCCTCTTTGAACCAAAAAAGCCCTTTCTCATTCTATAGTCTTCCCTCTTTGGAAAGAACATTTGCTGGGAGTTAGATGACTTGATTTAACCCCTGATATGCTGTTAACTAGTTGTAGGTTTCAAATTTTAGGATGCATGCAGATCACCTAAGTTACTTGTGAAAGATTCATGGTATCCTGCTTTAGAGATTCCGATTATAGGTCTGGGCTACTTCCCTGAAATCTGTTTTTTCAAAGAGCACCCAGGTGATTCTGATGTACATAATTTTCTTACTTCCAGAAATACTGCTCTGAAATTTTAGTAAGTTGTTAAACATGGTAGGTTTGTTAGAATCTTATTAAGCCATAGTTTTTGTGTGACTAAGAGAAACACCATGGTCCATAGACCAATTACATCAATGACTTTTTCTCTCCTTTTAGGAAATCTGTGTTCTCCCAGGCCAAGAAGAATAACCGAAGACTTTACTTTTCAAAGCTGTTGACCTCCTTAAGATAAATCTAGAAGGGAAATCTGAGATCGTTACAGCTCTTGTGGCTATGATGGCTGAGGATAAATCACTGGGAAAAAACAGGGTATAACTATTTCCTTTAGGATTTGATTATTGGTCCTTCTGTTGCAAACTCCTTGTTCCTGAAAAGCTGGCCGGGGTCAGCATAGTGGGTCAAAAAGAAAAGCCAGCCCTTAAGGAGAGAGGTTGGGATGCTCCAATCTCTATCCCAAAACATGTCACTGGTGATTTGAATGTATCTCCAGATGAACAAGACACAGAGCATGAATTCTACTTATTGGAGAATGACCCTCTGAAGAGAAGTTTGAATTCATCATCAGAGTCACTGGAGGGGACATCTGAGAGTCATGTAGGTGACATTTCACATGGTCCTGTCATGCCTCCAGTCCACAGGAAAAAGCCAGAGCCACTCCCCCAAAACAGAGATATCTTAGGAAGGTTGTTAGAACAAAGAGAATGAGAGAACAAGAGAAAGAAGAAAGTGGAGACCCACTGGCCCCTATCGTTCCAATACCTTTGGTGCAGCCACAGAGCGAAGATGATAAGGTGGTAGATCCAAAGCCAACCCTATTTGCTGCCCAGCAAGATGATCCTGACCACTGAGGTTGGGATGAGGCATGGGCTAGTGGAAATTCTGGGCTTATCACATTTCCAAAAGAGAAATAATGACAACTCTTCACCTGGAGGGGGAGAAATTGGAAATGGGAACTTGAGAAACAAAATAAAGTCCTTGAATCCTGATAGAGTGTGGCTCAGAGAGTCATCTTCTCTCTACATATGTGCCTTAAACACTGAGGACTTTTAATTTCTTCTACTTGCAGGTCAGAATGCAGAGTCAGGAGGATGAGGGTGCCTGTGTGAAGCATCTGGAATGTCAGATCCAGTCCTGTGAGCTCTTGGTGCCCCAGGAGCCTAGAACCTCTTCTCCTACAGTAACATCTTTGGCATCACCACCACGTTGCTTTGTTCGTTTCCTAAGCTGTGTTTGCCAGACCCTCTCAAGGTCTAGGAAACGGAAGCCTCCTAAGAAAGAGGACACCAAGCAGATTGAGGGAGGAGGTGATGCTAAGACTCTGAGACCGGGCCTGCTGAGGGGCATAGGTAAAAACAGGGTGCAGCCTCACCACAGCCTGTAGCAACCTGAAGTAGATACAGGTTCCCCCTGTGTTTGGTTTTCTGGTTTTCTCTATGTTGTTAGTGTTAGTTGAGCTCTTATCTGTCAAAGAAAGAACTGCTTTTATGCTGAAAAACTCAAGCCTAATGTGGTAGGAAAAGCAAAGTAACCCAGAGAATTTTAACACAGTACCAAGTAGCGAATTGTTCCTATTTCCTCCCATTAGGCTGAAGTGAGATCTGCTCTGGAGCCGTGACTCCCAAATTCATGTATATTTCACTCAGGTATTCAGTGGTCTTAATTTTTCTTAACTCCTCTGAGGATGGAAACTATACAACATCATTTTGAGTAATGTCTCCTGGTATCGACCATCAAGTGGAGACTCCATCCATGCAGCTCCTTTCCTTTTCTTTTACCTTTGGCTAGAGATACGTTTTGCATTCTTCATCTTCTGTCTTTTGCTGAAAATCTGCCACATTCTACTTGATTTCGATGTGCTGGAGGGGATGATGTTTGCTACTGTTCTTGGACAGAATGCCACTGTCCTCTCCACCTCTCACCATTCTTTGCTTTTCCTTTTGCCACTTGTTAGTAAGATACCTGGCTCTTCCTTCTGAAGTGTTCTCTAAGATTGTTTTGAAAGCACAGTCACACAAAGTAATGCTCCTTTCTTGTCATACATAATAGCCAGAGTCCTAAGTTCTTCTGAGAGTCCTAAGGAAAACAAGTACTTTAAAAAACTTTGAGATCATTTCATGTCCACTTTGTCCTGACATGCTAGTTTCATTCTCTACCCAGGATAGAAAGTGATAATTTAAATTACTCTTCTGGTCTTCTTTGAGGGAGAGTTACCCCATAGCTTGAATTACCTTTTATTTTTTACTTGTCCCACTTTCTGAATTCATGTAAAAATAATAAATGAAGTACAAATATGAATTAGTGTGTGAAGACTCTTCATAAGAAGGAAGTTGTATGCTTTCTTCCATCCTCAGGACTACCTTAAAATTGGGAAAGTAACCAATATTTTTGTTTTTTCTCTTTTCTTTTAGAACATAGGGCTTTCGAAGTTGTAGTTGGGAAGGGAATTGAATACATTGCAAGAGCAATGGCAAACATGCTTGTGATTCTTCTGGAGATAATTAGTACAAACTGGTCTTGAAGAAGTCTTGTGATGTGGTGAGGATCTCAAATTAGAATTAGAAGTTGCAAAACACCATATTCAGTGATTGGTCTAAAATGGAGCACCTTTAAAAGTCAGTCATGACTTGATACCTTTACTTGTTTAAAAATGGTTGATTTCTTGTTTTAGAGAATATGGAGTTTTAATAATGCTAATTGACCACTATAAATGGGTTCAAGCTAATATATGAAATTTCAAATTATCTAGACTATCTTATGTATCTCAATTTAATACAAATGGCATATTCTCTAAAGTATGCAAAGTCCTGTGTCATAGAGCCTATTATTAAAAGTGCAAAGGAAAATGGGTCATAATTTTGGTGCTATTAGTACTTTATTATTGTTATTTATTATAAAATGTTTCAAGATAAGTTGTTAGATCATAGAAAAACTGTTAGTGGAGTTTAGTTAGCCACTTCTTCAATCCCATCTACAATACTGATTTTCACATCAAGTCTATTTACCCAAAATTTAGAGTACAGATTTCAGATAAGAAAGGTCTATACAAGCACTTTGCTTTGTATTCAAACAAGAGAAACAAGCAGGAGAAAGGGTGTCCCCTCTGATACCTTTGTAAATGAGAAAATGTATCCTCTCAAATTTCAAATTGTGTGTTGCTGTTTTTATGGTTTGAATTATTAAACATGGTTTATGGCTTAATCAAATTGTTTTTGCAAAACATATTTTAAAAGATTATACAGCACTTTTGCAAAATATATTTAAAAAGATTGTACTTCTATTTTTAGGCATTTGGGTTGTTTCCATAGCTTAGCTATTGTAAATAGCGCTGCTATAAACATAGGGGTGCAGGTGCTCTTTTGAATTAATGTTTCTGTGTCCTTAGGGTAAATACCTAGGAGTGGAATTGCTGAATCATATGGAAGCTCTATGTTTAGTAGGTCAAGAAATCTCCACACAGCTCTCCATAGTGGTTGGACCAGTTTGCACTCCCACCAGCAGTGCAGGAGAGTTCCTTTTTCTCCACAACCTTGCCAACATTTGTTGTTGCTAGTTTCTTTAATATGACTAGATTAAGAAGATGTGGTACATATACACAATGGAATATTACTCAGCAATCAAAAAAGATAAACACATGCAGTTTGCAGCAACATGGATGGAGCTAGAAGGGATCATGCTCAGCGAAATAAGTCAGAAAGAAAAAGAAAAATACTGGATGGTCTCACTCATAGCAGGAATTTAGAAAATTTAAATAAGAGACCAGGAAAAAGACTAATTAATACAAAGTGAAAATCAAAATCAATAAGCAATTATAAACCAGAGACACACTATGGGGTGGGGGGGAGAGGGGCAGAGAGAGGAAGGACTAGAGTCAAAATAAGGGGGGGGGTGCAATTGTATGGGGAATGTAACCAAAATGAAAATGCATACATTGTGCAAAGATGAAAAATGATGTAAGAATTATATAAAATATTAAAAAAGTCACAATCAAAAAAAAAAAATTCCCCCCCCAAAAAGATTGTACAGCAAAATCAAAGTAAAAACATTAAAAAATAAAGCCTACTACTATAGATGAGAGATAAATCTTAAAGACCATTTAAAAAAATTGTTACCTCTGCCAGGCAGATAAACAGGATACTATAAACATGTTGGAAACAGGAATAATTGATAAGTATAAAGATGATCTTATTTAATGTATTTAGTTCCTTTTTTCCCATGGGAATTCAAAGAAGTGGGTAGGTGGCATGTATACTATTGCTACAACATAGATTTAACTAGATTAAGCAGGTTGACTAAACTTTTTCACTGATTTTTTTTTTTTAAGTTTCACTCATTAAATCTGATAGGGAATCATAACACAAGTTCTTTAAGCAGATGATTTAACCACTAATCTATCTTTTATCTTCCAAATGTGATTGCTCTTGCCCTGGTTCTTGTGCCAGCATTCCATCCTGAAAATACTTCTGCTGACCATGTTGGTTTTGTCACCTTGTGTTCATATTGTCCAAATTCCAACCAATGTCATCTTTACACACCTAGGAAATTCTAACATTGAAAGACCCTGATTAATATAAAATTATACAAATAATCAACAGAGAGGGCTTACTTATTAACTGAGTTTTCACTGAAAAGATAGAAATTATCTAGTGATGCCCTCTTATCTATGAGATAAACCTGAAACTCAACACAAAGAAACGAAGAGCTCTCAGGATAACACAGCAGTTCAGTGGCAAAACTAAAACCAGTCTTTATACACATCGTCTATAATCATTAAGCAATCTGCATGTGGTCGGTGCTAATATTTGTACTTTACAGATGAGATAATTTACATTCAGAAAGGTCCTGGATTGATGAATCATGATGTGGAATCCAGACTCAGACCTTGTAGTCTCTGAAGGCTCTACTAATTGCATTCTACTTTTCAGTGTTATAGTAACTCTTTTGTTTGCAGTCTAACTCTGTAATGTCATGAGCAGGCAATATTTGCCAAATTTAGATGTTTAGACTTCATGCACATACAACAAAAGTAGTCTGGTAAAAAGGTCCAATTTAAAAGTACTCTTTCTTCCAGCTAAAATTTCTACATTGGGAAGTAAACGATAAAATAGTTAATTGTCAGAAGAAAATTGCAGTGTAATTCTAATTACTGCAATCAATTAAACCAATAGTTACTTACCTGAAAAGTGATCAACTCAAAAGCAGAACAGGGGCGTTAACTTGACAGTGTCACAAGGCCCCTCACAGCAAAGATGAATTATGTCCACGGAAAGCTTATAGTGTTTCTAAACCATTTTTAGGTGAATGATTTGGGACATGTGTGACAAGAGAAGAGATACTCTTCTTCATAACCCAGTGATCCTTGAAATAAGTGAATATACTCCTGCTAATGAACTGCAGACTCTAAATAGGAAATCTGAATTTTCTCATGCTTCAAAACATGTGTCCTTCTGATTTAACAAGCTCTCCCTCAAGACAAAAGAGAACAACAGGACTGGAAGATCCAAACCACTGCATTATATGCTAAAGGAATGTCATTCTTCATTTTTTCAAATTCAGGATATGAAGATAGCTTTAAAACATGGCAGCAAAAATGGTACAGGTTCCTTGAGCTTTATTCTGTCAACTATACAAATTGCAGCAAGTTCTCATCATATAAGCTTTGTGATGGGCTGTCTCGGTCATGTGATTATTACCTCTCCAGTGCTGGAGGATGATGCTGGAGGATGACTTTGACTAGGATCCATGTGCCCTCCCTACATCCACCACTACTTGTACCTTAGAATTAGTCCTGCAGTTGGTGAGAAACCTAAAAAAAGCTGTTTTAATAGAGATTTAAATATTCTACATAAAGATGAAGCCTCAAAATAGATTACAAAGATCTTAAACAAGCTAATTTTCAATAAATTCAGAATTCTGAGTTTATTACAAATTATTTCCTGTGTGAACTGGACTCCTTTCCTAGTTGTAAAACTGTTCTGATTCTTTAACACTTGTGAAAATACAAAATGTTGGCCATTCCAGTGGTAACCCTTCTGGTGAGTGGAGAATAGAGCCATTCATAGAGAGGAAAGACACAGTAACTGGAGTTTTTAATAACTACTGTGAAAAATATCTTTTTTACATCTGTATCTTGGAAGAATTCTACATGTTATAGAACTATATACATTTTGGAAAATATCTGAGCAGATAAAAGCTAAAAAAATTAAGCACTAGATCCTGGTTTTGCATTTTGTTACTGCACAACTTGGCTATTTATTTAAACCCATTAATCTGTGATCTCATCTAAGAAAGGAGGATATTAACACCTCATAGGTAGTTTTGAGGTTTTCATGAGATAATGTCCTTGAGAGAGCCTACTGACTGTTTTGTAGTAGAAAGTTTTTGCCATTTTAGTATCTAATGAATGCTTAGAAAATGAAATAAAGCATTATACTAAGTGCTATATAATGGTAAGCTACGTTGATCTTTATTTCAAATTGAACAAAATTCATTTTTTGGAGGGATCAAATAGATTTAATATTTGTTTATTCTCAATTCAATTATCTCTAGAGAAAAATTTTAACCGAGAATTTGACAGACCAAAATCCCTTATTTTTACAGCCTGTGAAATCAATAGTAGTTGGGCTTTCATTCCTGATCTGCAGGGCTGAACAGATAATCATCTGGCCCTAAACTGCCATAGTTTAATGCAACATATTTATAAGTCATTAGCATTTTCTGAGAAAACTTCATTGTAAAGAGAGTTTTCTTGATGGCTGCAAAAGAGTAGTGATTTTGAACTTCTGCTCCAACTTGCTGAACGATAGGAGAGGAACTATCAATACCATTACTTCACAATGGCAATGATTATTAATGAAATGATAATAAAGGCACCTCCCAGATGTATTAGAATTTTTGAGAAATTATCATTTGGAAAAACCTCTAAGTATACAATCCCCCCCCTCCTTTACTGTTTCTCTTATCTACTGATTGACTATTATGCCCAGACTGACTATAGAAAGGGCCATTAACTTCCAGTGTTTTGTGATCAGGAATTTTATTATGTTCTACTCACTGAGCACATATGGACCATCTGTGCCTAAAATGAAGTTATTTTATCCCAAAGTAATACAAAGGAAACATACGTAAAAAGTAGAAGAAACTGCTGTGAATTAATTTGCAGTCACACAATGACTGCTTAACAATATCAAAAAAATCCAAATAGTCTCCAAGTGTAGACAATGTATGTAATGTATGTAGGTTCTGATGGAATGCAAAGTAAAGGAAAGAGTATAGGAGATGCCTTCTCCCATATGTCAGCTAAATTTTGAACTGGACCTTTGAGGAAGAATATGGTGTAGATTTATACAAATGCCACATCCAAATAGGTTAAAATTATTCATTGGATGGATTTCTACAGATTGGATGGAGCCAGAGCACAAGTGTAACCAGATCTAATAGAGAACTTGTAGAAATGGTGAGGATAAGTCATTATGTCTAAGGGTAGTCAATCTAACTGAAGAAAGAGCTGGAAAATTGGGTGCTGAGTAAAGGAAGAAATGGTGCAGAGGCATTCATGAAGAAGAGAATAAAGAGAGGGCCAGAAACTTTTATCTGAACAATAGAAAGACCCGTGGGGTGTTTCTCATGAAGTATTTTTTTTAAGGGAGGTCCCCTCCAAAGGAAAACAAGATGGATTACATTAAAGGTATAAAAGCAAAATTTCAAGCTTTGGAAACAACCCAAATGCCCAAAAACAGATGGATCAAGAAGATGTGGTACATATACACAATGGAATATTACTCAGCAATCAAAAAAGATAAACACATGCAATTTGCAGCAACATGGATGGAGCTGGAAGGGATCATGCTCAGCGAAATAAGCCAGAAAGAAAAATACCGGATGGTCTCACTCATAGCAGGAATTTAGAAAACCTAAATAAGGGACCAGGAAAAAGAATAACTGTAAGAAAAAAATCAAAATCAACAAACAACTATGAACCGGAGACACACTATGGGGTGGGGGTGAGGAAAGGAGGGATTGGGGTCAAAATAAGGGGGTTGCAATTGTAAGGGGACTATAAAAATAAAATTTAAAAAAGCCAATTTTCAGATGGAAAAATCATGAAGAAAGGTACAGATGTTACAATATTAGGTCCCATGTGGGGGTCATGGGGTAGTTTAGAAATGTGTAAAGGAGAGTAGGGAGAAT